ACTTAAAGTATAAAACACTTAAAAAAACACATTAAGGATAAAAGCTTGGGTTCTATAGAGTAGGCTAAAAAATGATTACTCCACTAAAGTATAAATTGCCAAAAATTCTTCTTAAGTAAAGTTACGAAGTATTTGTGCTTAGTTACTTGACACCTCTGCTAGTATGTCCATCCATCCATCAATCCTTCCATCCATCCATCATCTATACCCACTTCTTCCTGTCAGGGTCATGGGGGTCACTGGTGCCCATATCCAGCAGTCACAGTGCGACAGGTCACAAGTCCATCACAGGGCCTCACATAGAGACAAWTGGGACAGACAATCATTCACACTCTCACCTATAGATAATTTAGAGTCACCTAACAGTCATGTTTTTGGTGTGTGGGAGGAAGCCGGAGTACCCAAAGAGAACCSACGCATGCATGGAGAGAACATGCAAACTCTACCCAGAAAGGTAACCGATCCAGGATTCGAAATGGTGACCTTCTTGCTGAGAGGCATCYGCTCTACCAACTAAGCCAGTATGTCTCTAGTATGTAATATGCATATTGTTAGACTCATAGCATGATTGCCCAAGACATATTTGGTCACAAATGACTTAGACATATATGCCWTGAGGCTAACAATATGATTTCTAAATGTGTTGTTCTGTAAGGAAAGTAGAGTTGGAAGTTATCATCTGTCTGATGAAGAGATGAAAGCTACTGTAATGCAAACTGTATCACAGGGCATAGATTCTTTTTAAAATTAGAAAATTCTGAAAATTCTGATCTCTGGAATTCAGAAATCAGATGTACTCCAACATTTTTTCAATGAATAAGATGTTTGAGCGCACCATGAGGAACAAGGAAGACCAGAACTGATGCATAAAATCTATAATGCTTTGCTAATGTGGAGATAGAAACAGGCTCAAAATATGGGTTGAGACTAATGAGTAGACGGGAGACAGCTGAGAGAACAGGGAACAGGTGTAGCAGGTTGACTGGAAAATTACTGAGGGAGTTGGCTGCTGGCACAGAGAAATACAATTGAGCTGAAAAGATTAAATCACAACTAAGCAAAACTAAACAGAGGAATCCAAAAACATAAATAGGCCTAATAACAAACTAACAAAAAATAAAATAAAATCAAAGATTCTGACACCTAATTGAAATAACTTCTGAGACACAGTAAAGCTTACAGATCCACAAAGAGCAGAGTGCTGGACTGCAGCCTGCTTTGGGTTATTATAATGTAACTGTTGCTATATTGCCCAGCCAGTCTTTGATTATGCAGTGCAGCCCTGGAAGCCGTTCCAGCATCTGATTCAGCTTCATCGCTGCTCAAAAACAGGACTACAAAGTGACTCTATCGCAATCGTCGAGCCACACTGAATCGACGATGTGTAGGAGGTGCAGCACTGATTCTGTTTATTTTTTTTTCGATGCATCACCCTATAATTTTTCTCCATGCATCTCAGAGACACAGCACATAAAATAAAAGAAACTACTCAGGGGACATGATTAATTTAAATACATTGATTTATTTATTCGCTTCATGGTGAACCCAGCAGACGCTTGTCCCACATTTCCTTATGACTTTTAACATCAGAGCAAACATTTTACATAGCAAAGCAGCTTTTTCAAATGACAGTAAGGAAGCTAAAATGGAGGAGGACTCAATATTTTGCAGAAACTGAAAATATTCTGTACAAAAGAGCAGATGTCAACAAGCCATTTTTTTGTTTCACACTGTAATTTAAGAGGAGTTGGGAAAGGGTTAGGTAGGGTTGATTTTTAATTGCTCTTATGAAAACTGTTCTTCAGATTTAAACAGKATTGTTCTGACTTTTCAAGGCAACATCAGATTGTTTGGCCAACAGTGAGGCAGTAAAGAAAACTATTGCTGTGAGTTAAGTTCCCAGTTCATGCATTTGTTGACAACTACCAAAGTACACATTTAAACCCTCATATTACCTGTGATTGACATGTRCCCTGCCCCTTGCATTGTGACTGCTGGATATGGGCACCAGTGTGTCCACTATTAACACCAATAAGTAAAGTCAACATTAAGTAAGTTACAATAAGTTAGTAAAGTCTTTGTGTTGCTGTACAAAAGGTCAAAGTAAATGAAAGTGACTTTAGGCTAAATACACATTTCTAGAAATGTTAAGAGTAAAAAAAATAGCAATTAGAAAAGCAAATTGGAAAAATCAAAGATGTCTCAGTAGCCAATGAACACTTCRTACATTTGACTGAGAGCAAATCCTTAGATGCATCTCACCCCCCAGCTGCATCCTTCCTCTAAACCTTCCCAACAGCCCTATGACTAAATCCTTGGAGTTGCAGAGTCCCCCTCTCCTTCAGAGGTTTGTGGTCACAAAGGTTTTGCAGCTGTCCTTCTGTATTAGGAAAAACTGTGATTTTCTGTCATGTYTTGGCTGCTCCAYATGGATCTCAGCTGCTYATCATCCACAGCMTGTTCTCCAGCTCCTCTACTCATGCCACGCCCCCTGCTTCACYGCCACATTAATCACCTTCATCTGTTTCACCTGTTCTRCCTCCTATTTAAGCTCCATACCAACAGACTCTCACTGCCAGGTTATTGAACGGTTCCCCAAGTAGATGGCCAGTGTTATTTTCATGCCCATGTCTGATCTCTCGTTCCTGACCCATGGCCTGTCTCTTGACCTTTGTCTCCTGCMTGTYCCTTGCCTGATACTGACGCTAAATCTGGCCCTTGGCTTAYGAACCTGTTTCTGCTCTCTGGACACCACTACCTGGATTGTGATTTGGATTTGTTTTTGGATTTCTGACCTCCCGGCTCTGACCTTGGACTGCCCTCTGGATTACCGTAACCAGTCAGCTCCCTTACCCGGCTCTGAGTCTTCCCGGACCATCATCAGTTCTGGACTCACCTACACAAGTCCATTTGTAGAGGGAAGGTCAGTAATCATTTCCTTACTCGGTAAATCCACCATATTTGTTCCCAACACTC